AAGACAGAAAAGAAAGACTTGTGGAAAACTTGTCCTGGTAGATCTTCATCAAGCTCTTTTTTTTTAATGCATACACAGTGCATATAGTGTGGGATCACTCCCAAAATCTTATTCTTTCATCAGAAAACAAAAGTTGCAATATAATAAATACTTCAAATAAATAACATATACATGAGAACTACTCTGTTTTAATGTCTGGGTCTTTTAAGCATAATTATTGTAATTTGTGTTCAAACATTGTTATTTGTGATTGTCATTTTCCTTAAGAACCTAGCAATATATTTGTATATATGTATGAAGATCAACTTCTCCAGCACCCTACATCTGATGTTTAAGTCTAGCATTTCTGCCTTAGCACACAGACATAAAGGATTCTCCTTAGTTTTTATGACAAATGCTCTTTGATAAATCTTTTCATCTGACAAAACATCTAACCCAGCCTTTTCCAAGTTAGGATTTTATGTAGACATCTCAGATTATAAATTCTTTGACCACAAGTTGGGTAGTTGGAAACAAAGATCATTGTAGACCAAGACACCTATCTTTGGAAATGCATGTAAGATTGCTACTAATCATGGCAAATTGCATATTTTAACTGTGTGCTGTGTGAAAAAGCCCTCCATTTTATACATCCTGAACTGATCAATAATTTTCATATTATTTCCTACCCACCTTGGCATTTACAGCTGTAGTTGCAGTATGATTCATTGATCTTATTCATAGCATAGGTGTTAATTTCAACAGTAAAATGTAGAGTCTGTACATTCATCTGAGACTGAATTAAGATTACTTCTGCCATTCCCAGTGGTGGGGAAATTTGTGTGTCTGTAGATGTATATACGTGGGTAGATGTACCAGAAAAAAGAGAGTCAGAATTAGCACTGAGACTGGAGAAAGGATTCCACAAGAGCATGTCACTCAGAGAAAACCTTTTTCTCCAGTTGTGACAAGCATGAAAGCATTAAAATCAAGTGACAAAGATGATCAGGGGACTGGAGGCTAAAACATATGAAGAACGGTTGCAGGAACTGGGTATGTCTAGTTTAATGAAAAGAAGGGGAGACATGATAGCAGTGTTCCAATATCTCAGGGGCTGCCACAAAGAAGAGAGGGTCAAGCTATTCTCCAAAGTACCTGAGGGTAGGACAAGAAACTAATCAAGGAGAGACGCAACTTTGAACTAAGGAGAAATTTCCTGACCGTTAGAACAATTAATCAGTGGAACAACTTGGCTCCAGAAGTTGTGAATGCTACAACCCTGGAAGTTTTTAAGAAGATATTGGATCATCATTTGTCTGAAGTGATGTAGGGTTTCCTGCCTAAGCAGGGGTTGGACTAGAAGACCTCCAAGGTCCCTTCCAACTCTGTTATTCTACTCTACTCTACTCTACTCTACTCTACTACATTACATTACATTACATTACATTACATTATATTACATTACATTACATTACATTACATTACATTAAATGGCAAGGACTCATGAACTGGAATATGAAATTATCCAGGGTGTAGGTAACACAAGGATGCTGAACAGAGGTAATTAACCCTGAAATAATTATTATAGAATGTAGAAGTTGCCAGAGATCTCTTAGGTCATCAAGTTCATTCCCCATTCAATACAGGAATCCCCTAATCCCTAATTGACAGGTGGCCATCTAGATCCTATTCAGAAAAACTCCAACAAGAAGGAATTCACCATAATATGGACAGTTTCACAACTTAACAACTGTTAACTTCATCAAATTCCTCCTAATATTTAGCCTGGATCTTTTTTCTACTAATCATGAAGACAAAAGGGACTTCATGAACAAGTCCAAAAAGTTAGCAATCTAAATGAACCTGATTTACCTTTGTCTTTTAGGACTTTTTCCCCATTCTAGCCCACAGCCCCAGGATTTTCTAATGGTTTCCATCCATGTACTAACTAGTTAGTGGATGTCTAACTTTTGATATCAGCCCAAGTCACCTGGGTACTGCCACCTAGTTGGAACTATGACATAGGAGTAAATAAAAAACAGATACAATACACATTTACATTCTGATAATCTTATTTCTTTACTTATTAGAATTTACAGACCATCAACTAGCAAGGTTTCCCATAGTCATTATGGTAACCTCTCTAAGGGGGATCTACGATTGATTTCAGAATCTTCCTGTAATATATAGTTCATTCTCAGGCTTAGCTGGCTTCAGCAGCTGCATATTTGAGCAACAGAGCAAAAAAGAGGAGAAACTGTGCACCCACGATAGGCCTTTCGGCAGTGTGAAATCCATTTTTTTTTTACTACCGGTTCTGTGGGCGTGGCTTGGTGGGCGTAGTGTGGTGTGGCTTGGTGAGCGTGGCTTGGTGAGCACGGCAGGGGAAGGATATTGCAAAATCTCTATTCCCACCCCACTCTGGGGCCAGCCAGAGGTGGTATTTGCTGGTTCTCCGAACTACTCAAAATTTCCGCTACCGGTTCTCCAGAACCTGTTAGAACCTGCTGGATTTCACCCCTGCCTTTGGGGTCTGCAAAGAGGTTGGCCATTTCTGATTTAGAAATGTTTCTCTTTGAATGGCAGAAGCAAATCCCTCTTGACTAGGCTGTGATCAGATCACAGGGAGCATCTTTATTTAAAGTTGGAGCAGAAGTCTCATTTTGAGGAATCACATTCTCCAATGCCAAAAATGGGCATGGCCCTTGTTTAGAATAGAATAGAATAGAATAGAATAGAATAGAATAGAATAGAATAGAATAGAATAGAATAGAATAGAATAGAATAGAATAGAATAGAATAGAATTCTTTATTGGCTAAGTGTGATTGGACACACAAGGAATTTGTCTTGGGTGTATATGCTCTCAGTGTTCATAAGGAGAATAAAATACATTCATCAAGAATAAAAAGATACAACACTTAGTGATAGACAAGGTTACTAATAAACTATCAAATCGTACTAGAAAACAAATAAAAACAATATAATTGAAAGATACAAGCAACATGGTTATAGTAATAAGTGGGAAGTGATAGATACTAGTAAGGAAGAGTAGAATAATAGCAATACAGTCTTAGTAAATAACTTGACAGTGTTGTGGGAATTACTTGTTAAGCAGAGTGATGGCATTCGGAGGAAAACTGTCCTTGTGTCTAGTTGTTTTGGTGTGCAGTGCCCTATTGCGTCTTTTTGAGGGTAGAAGCTGAAACAATTTATGTCCAGGATGTGAGGGCTGTAGGTTTTCCACTCTGGGGCTTTAAGCCTCATAATGTGACAAAAGGAAAGAAGGACGGAAGAGAAAATTTCTACAGTAGGCTCAGTCCTAGAATCTAGATTGGAAGTGATCTTATTTTATTGGTTTATTATTTGTTTATTTTCCATATTTATTATTTTTATAAACAACTCAAGGTGGAGAACCTATCCTACACAGTTTTCTCCTCTTCTTTTCCCTACAGCAACATCTCTGTGACGTAGATTTGAATGAGAGAGAGTGACTGGCCCAAAGTCATCCTGCTGGCTTTCATGGTTAAATCAAGTTACAGGACATCTAGTCCAACTCCTAGATTTATGAAAAAATCCTCATAGTACCCCGAATTACCGCGTCCAGCAACGAAGGAGGACTTATGATTTCAGGAAGCGGGCTGTTCCACTGCTTAATAGATCTCAATGGCTCCTGCATGACAAATTGTACTATGCTTGGATTTTAAAGAATGGTCCATGAGTGTCTTTTCTCCACAAGATTTTAATTGCTAGAAAACTTCCCAAGGTATGTCTAGCCTCTTTCCTATATTTCCTATTAGTGGGAGAATCAGTAGGCAGTCCTTCCTTCAAAATGTATCAATGCATCTGTAGTTGCAATACACAAACATACTACCTTGCCTCTTTGATCATGCAAAGTACCGTTTAAAATACTTTGCTTAATGAGGTATGGGGCAGGGGAAAGCATGAAATCTGCTTAGAAGTCAACAATATTGGATTTATTTCATGGTGGATAGTACATTCAAGTTCAAGAGTCTTGAAGAGACTTGACTCCTGTTTCTGAAAAAGTTGAAAAGTTGAAAAGAAAAATACACTATATTTCATATTTCAGCCATACACTGGCCCATGAAGAAACTGAAGAACTGATGCTGTGGGCAAATGCTGAGCAAAAGATTTTCTTCAAGAAATAAGCAGGATTAAGAGAAAGACTGATAAATGTATATCCTTCTTGGAACACATCATTAGCTTATGTAATGTATGGCTATAATTTCCAAATGGCCTTGAAAAATAAGAAACAAACATAACTACCTATAGTGCAATCTTGGAAAAGTTTCTAAACTTATACAGGTAAATATTCAAATTATCAAATTCAAATTATCAAATATTCAAATTGTTCGAGATTGGCAGAATTTGATTCTGTAAAACAATACTTTTACAGAAAAACGTTAATTATCTAACAATTTTTGAAATAAATACATTCTAAGAGAGAATTCAGTCATTTTTTGCTCTTGTAATTAGAGTTAGGTTCATATTTTGTGCAGTTCCTTTTTACATAACTGTATGCATTTTCATTTATTTTGTCAATAAGAATTAATTAAATTTATATGACCACCATATTGATATTGATATCAATGGACCACCATATTTATATTGATTCCAGGTGGCAAACAGCATTAAATAAATGGACAACTACATAAACAATAAGTATATCGGCAGTTACTAGCCAGATATATTTTGGAAAATCACATGCCAGATGATAAATAGGAAAGAACTATCTTATTAATCATCCTATGTTTATGAACTTCTCTAAATCCAGATAAGCACAATCCAGAGATGCACTTCCGGTAACATTCATATTGTTAAGAAGAAGAAATAGCATGATAAATCATGGATTCCCAATAATAAAGTTCTAGGATCCCCAAAGACAAGGGTTTGGTATTTCCTCCGGCCTTGCAAAATAACTTTGATTCATCTCCCAAGTCAAACAATCTGCACAGGCAGACCAAGGGGAAACTCACACCCATGTGTAGAGTCCACTACTTACCCATCCTTCAAAGCTGTCAGAAGACCCTGTGCCATGAAGCAGATCGTGAAAGGGCACCGTGCAATTGGCCACAAAGTCATCGTAGCCAATAGGGGTGCCATGGAAGACTGCCAGCTCCAGCTGGCGCCCATCGTTGACAGGGGCAGAAAACTCCTCGTTGTAAGTAGGTCTGTTAGTCTTCTGCTTGGTGCTGGTTTGTCCCACACGGACCTGGTCCACACTCACTGTGATGTAGGGGTCCAGCAGTTGGTATCCCTTTTTGAACAGGGAATGCCGGAGTGACCAGCGGGTGGGCTGGAGCCCCACAGCCTCCCCAATGCGCACCTTCATGTATCCATTAAACTTCATCCCTCCGGACATGGCAGGTCCCAGCTAAGCCAAGACAAGGAGGCTTCCTCCCTATCAAATAGGAAAACTTCAGTTTGGGGCTTTCCCGACAGTCCCAGCTGCCTTGGGACACGAGAGTCCTCCTCAGGGGTCAGGGCAGCCCAGGGTTCCCGATCTCCGGCCCATGCTGGTGTGTTCACACGCAAACACACACACACACCCCAACTCAATCCCTTTCTGGCTTCAGAGCCGGGAAGGAAATGAGCCAAGCTGCTGAATCACTTCACTCGCGGCTTTCTTCGCCTCCTGTGAGAGCTGCTGGGATCAGGGATCCAGAACACAAAGGAAAAACGCGGGGGGAGGAAGCCATCGTTTCAGAACAGCCCCCCACCCCCCACAATTGCCGCCAGGCCCCCGAAGTGCCTGCCGGCCCTCGAGCAACCGAAGCCTGCCCTGCTCTCCGGCTCGGAGGCTTCGGTTTCCTCCCGCCTCGTTCCTCTCTCTCTCTCGGTCGCTTCTCCACCAGCCCAGGAAGAAACTGCCTCAAAGAAGCCGGCAGGGTGGCTTTTCCTGTCGGCGCAGCTGCTCCGAAGCGCCGGTTCACCCACACAGCCGCCCGCGGTTCAATCCAGTCCTCCGTTCAGCCAGCTTGCTTGCTTGCCTGCCTGCCTGCCTGCCTTCGTTCCTGGCTGTTTCAGAGCAGCTTCGGCTGAGGGGGAAAAAAAGGCAAATAGTTATTAAAGGGAGGGAGACACCTGAGGGATGAGCCTGAAGAAGGCAGGGCCAAGAGGCGGAGCTTGTCAGCCGTCCTGCAGGGACTTGTCCCGACCCGCGGAGACAGCCGTGGGCCGCCGCCGCCCAGCGCTCGGCTTTGACGGCGCTCCTCAGCCAGGCGCAGTTCCTGAATCCGCAACACACAAACCCTCCGTTTTAAATGTCCCGATAGAAGAGAATATCTGTAGCTCAGGGTTGCAATAAGGAGTCGCTTGGCGCTCCCTGAACTTGGTGGTTTGCTGGCGGACGTTTTATTACTCGACTAGGTAACAAACATCAGAGGTTACCCTTGAACAGATTAACAGAGTTGGAAGGGACTTTATAGGTCAGTTTTTCTCAACCTTGGTAGCTTGAAAATGGGTGGACTTCAACTCCCAGAATCCCCCAGCCAGCTGGCTGGGGGATTCTGGGAGTTGAAGTCCACCCATTTTCAAGTACCAAGGTTGAGGAACACTGTTATAGGTCATCTAATCCAAACCACCCACTCACCAAGCCAGTGCCTTCCGCCGTGCCCTTAAAACCCACTTTTTCCAGCAAGCCGGGCTGGCTTAGGAAGAAATTTTTTTAAAATTTTTAAATGTTTAATTGGTTTGTGGTTTTTTAAATTTTGGGCCAAATTTATATAGATTTTAATTGTTTTTAATATTTGTATTTCATGTTTTTAATTCTGGCTGTGCACCGCCCTGAGTCCTCAGGGAGAAGGGCGGTATATAAATTGAAAAATAAAATAAAATAAATAAATAAATAAAGCAGGAGACTCTACCCCATTTCTGACAAACGGCAGTCCAATCTTTGCTTGAAAGTCTCAAGTGATGAAGCTCCCACAACTAGTCAGGTAATGAAACATCTTGCAAACAAAGCACCGGACTCGGGCTCCACCGTTTTTTCAATGTTTTTCCTGGTCCTCAGATCTTCGCCCATCCACCAAGTTTTACCTTCACGACGAGTTTAACTTTCAGGTTTCCCCCAAAAGGTGTCTCCCAAAGTCACATTTTAATCTCGACAGGCAATTTCCTTCTTTGGACAACCCCAGCTGGAAAATCCACTTCTTACCATCCTCGGTTCCAGCCCAAACAAATTAGTATCTAGTCAGAGGACAGGAGTGGCCACAAAGGCAGGATGATGGGATGTCTCTGATCTATTTTGAAGCTCAACCCACGTGGAGTTGACTCTTTGTTTTTGTTCTGCATTTCAAAGAAAAGTTTTTCCATTGTATCTTCAATTGTTAGTGGATCAAGTTATAAAGTATAAAGATCAAGTTATAAAGATATACATTTGATTCAAGTTAGTGAATCAAAACTTGTCTTAAAAGACAATTTTTTGACATTACTGGTATGATTTGGAGGGCAAGCATTTTGATGTCTTTTGGGATTTTAATTCCAAATTGATAAGCAGAGGTACTACTGCTTTGGGAATGAGATCTACTTCAGTGACAGAGTTCACATTATGCTAAGCCATGGTTTGCGGAACAAACCAACGTAGTCACACATATCAAGTTGGGATCACATAATACCTAAACCAGTGGTGAAATCCAAATTTTTTTACTACCAGTTCTGTGGGCTTGGCTTGGTGGGCATGGTGTGGCTTGGTGGGTGTGGCTTGGTGGGCGTAGCAGGGGAAGGATACTGCAAAATCTCCATTTCCACCCCACTCCAGGGGAAGGATATTGCAAAATCTCCATTCCCACCCCACTCCTGGGGGAAGGATATTGCAAAATCTCCATTCCCACCCCACCCTGGGGCCAGCCAGAGGTGGTATTTGCTGGTTCTCCGAACTACTCAAAAATTCCACTAACGGTTCTCCAGAACCTGTCAGAACCTGCTGGATTTCACCCCTGACCTAAGCCAAAACTAAAAATATTGCATTATAGTGTGGCAGCCATCTATTTATGTGGTGGTTAAGAACAACAAATCTTGTTGACACACAGTCATCATAATCAAGCTTTGGTGTGCCCAATGCCTGGCTAACTCATCTCCGTCCCAGACCATCCTTCCATCAGACAACCAGACTGGGCGTAAAACAGATAATTTGAGAAATAGTTTGCTGTAGCATATAAGGTGCTGACTTTATTTATTTATTTATTTATTTATATGCCGCCCTTCTCCAAAGACTCAGGGCGGCTTACAATGCATTAAGCAATAGCCTTCATACTTTTGTATATTTATACAAAGCTTATTGCCCGCACAATCTGGGTCCTCATATACTTATAAAGTATAAAGGGGAAAGGATGATCAAAATGAACAAGGAATGGATGATTTCATCTTTTCCTCCATTATTGGAATTTTGAGGCATTTTTTTCCTATTTCTTGACTCTATCATTTGCATTAGGAGAAAATCCTCTATTATGATCAATATAATTTAACCTGAAAAAAACCATTTCTTTAAGATTTTTAGAAGATTCCTTTTCCCTTGCCGTAGTGAGAATATGTGTAGCTTAAAGCTGAGTTGTTGGGTCCTTGGCATTCTCTGACCTTGCTTCTCTTCCTGCAGATGTTTCATTACCAGTCTAGGTAACATTGTCAGTGCATGGGGGAGTAGAATTAGCTGGCTGTTTTTATGTATTGTAGCTTGGCCTGCCAGCTTTGATGAGTTACGTAAGCTTAGACCTTCGCAAACAGACATTCTTCCTCATCATACAGCTGTTAACCAACCTCCAGATAAGCAGAAACTATCACCAGATATTAGAACAATCACAGAAGAAACAATGCCCCACCCAAAAAGCTAGGAAGAAAAGAAGAATAAAATTACAAGATATGAATCAGTAGCAATCTCCACCACCACTATCACCCCGCCCCCATGCACTGATGATGCTTCATTGTCTAGTAATGAAATGTTTCTGTGAAAAGAAACAAACTGTTTTTGTTATTACTTGTTAGTGTATTTTGTTATTACTAAGTTAGTGAATAAAAAAGGAAAGTTAACCAAAGTATTTCAGTTCTACAATCTGCGTGTTCTTCTAATATAGAATTGGAAACTTACAGCCATTTGCTTCTGAAATACAGCTCCCAGTGTGCCCAACCAATATATCGAATGAATTACCTAATCTTTTCAAGACTGGATTACTGTAATGCAATGTACATGTACATGACTACCCATGAAGACAGTTCAAAAATTTTGGCTGGCTCCAAAAGTGAATATCCTTATTGTATGATTTCACATTCCAACACTAAAATATTTTTATTTCTTACCAATTAATCTGGACTGCTTTGTATGAAGCTGCCCCTATATTGACCTTCCACAATTTGATGTCTTCTAAACTTATTAGGCCACAATTCCTATAATGCCAAAAGCAAAGGGAATTATAATATAATATAATACAGATAGAAGATATTCAGTTGATATTATGGTTCCAAATTACTTTTCTGGCTAGACCAGGGGTCAGCAACCCGCAGCTCGGGAGCCACATGTGGCTCTTTCATCCGTCTGCTGTGACTCCCTGTTGCTGGTCGGCTTCACAACTGATAGGGCTTTCGGTTAGGACAGGTAAAGGAAAAAGGATGCCACGCTAGGAGGAGACTCTATGGTGGGGGAACTGACTTCCAGTCGGCAGAGGAAAAAGGACACCATGCTAGGAGGAGATTCTATGGGTGGGGGAACCGACTTCCAGTCGACTCCAGAATTGAACGGGGGGGTTCCAGTTAGTACCTTTGTGGTTCTTTGGGTGTTTAAAGTTGCTGACCACTGGGCTAGACAATTGGCCCATTGTGACCAATTAGCATATTAGGTATTAATAGCTAATTGTCTGCAGATACTAGGCCCATGAACCATTTGTATCCTTAGCAAGTGCTCATTTATCATGTCTTTTAGCATATGAAGACAATCAACCAAAGTAACACCGGATGTTCTCCATTGGTGGCAATAAATTTTCCATAGAAAGATCCCCAGGCAACCCTTTTTACTGGTTTTACATAGGTAGTGATGATTACAATATTTGACTTTTATGAGCCTTCAGCTGTAATAATTAAGTTTCTTTCTTACTACATGGGTGAAATATCACATTGCAGGAGCAGATTTCCTGCTCACAGGACATTTTCCTCCCCTCTCCTCTACCTTGCAACATCCTCAGGAGCCTCCAGACTTTGCTGTGGGTGGTCTCCCAAAATTTCAGAGCAGATTTTGAGGACAGAGGAAAGGACTGACTCTTGGCCCAGTCCTGCTGCTGGAAGGTGAAAACCATTCTTAGATTCCACCCGTTACATACAGGATTTTTTTTTTTATGTTCATAGGCTAAATTCATCGCTTTTAGTAAACAAATTGGGGAAATAAAAATAAGACATAAATACTCAAGGTAAACAGATCCGTCTTTCATAATTCCTCTATTCAACCAATGTCCTACAGTGCTTCTGAAAAGGATGGAAAGAATTTCACTGCACTGTGAATCTGTTAAAGGAAAGATAACTTTCAGAGCTTGGTTTAAAGTTTTTTGCAGAACATCACCAAAATCAATTAGGGTGTACTCTTGAAAAAATGGGTGGGGAAAATGAAGATAACAGATTACTATTAAAATGTACTGTGGGATTTTGTTCTTAAAAATCAAGTTCAGGCACAAGCTGCAGCTGATTTAATTCCCATCTTTTCCTGGAAGAACCCATGGTTTGTGAACAAATAAAACTTCCCAGGAAATCATGAGCTCCTAAGAATACAATGATGAGAGAAACAGCTGTAGGAGGAAACAGAAAGCACATGAGACAGACATAAATAGTCAATAGCTACAGTAAAACTCAGTCAAGTTAGTTCCTGTTTTACAGAACTATGGTTTTACAGTACAGTAACTTTATTTTTAATCTTGACTTCAATTTCAAGAAATGTTCAACAGCTGCAGCGGTAGCCCCAGCCAAAGTCTTCTGTTCAACGTTTCAGACAAGCATATATGGCCTTTTCTATTCTTTCTTCCCTAAACACTTGTTTTTCATTCTGTCCCCATCCTCAAAAAATTAAGCAGCCCATACTCAGAACATACTCAACCTTC